TAAACCACCACTTTGTTTAGATAACAGATTCTGGTTTGAGCAGCATGTGCAGCATGTGATCAATACTCTGAGGCAGATTAAAAGTTAAGGACCACAGAGTCCAAAGTTAAGGACCACAGAGTTCTAAGTAGGACCTAACACTGTCTGCTCTGACACCTGAGAAAGAGTCTAGAACGTTGTTCTTGGGTTCACTTAGAATCAGATCATCAGTAGCACTCAGCCCCATCACCTCTGCTTTTTTAACATCTTCAGACATGTTTTGTAGTGAAAGGAGGTGGCTTTTTGAAGACAAGATGGAGTGAGAAAAAAATTGAATAAAATACCCAAGTTCAACCTGTTTGGATGTAAAAGACCTTTGTCATAAACAAGGGATATTTTAGCAGCACCAAGACCAGAGATTAGAGGCTGTCTTGGGTGTGCACGTGAATTTTGCAGGAATACCTTCTCAGCACGCCCAGACAGGTATGTGGGACATCAAGACAAAGCATGGAGTTGCCAACTGACTTAATAAAATTAAACCATCGTACTTTGTTCCCAAGGTCTCCTTCTGGCTCAACCAAAACTAATCCCAGGTACTAGAGGAAACACTATTTGTGATTCTAAAAATCTTTCCTTTACATGATTTCTCATTAAGTATTCTTTCTAACCTTAATTTTAAGCTCGACTTTTAATTTTAAAAAATCAGTAAAAGGGGCCGGCCCGGTGGCACACTGGAGAGTGCGCCGCTTGGGAGCGCGGTGGCGCTCCTGTTGAGGGTTCGGATCCCATGTGGCGACCGGTTCCCGCTCACTGGCTGAGCGCGGTGCGGGGGCAACACCGAGGGTTGCAATCCCGTTGCTGGTCCCCGGTACGGGCGTGACACTGAGGGTTGCGATCCCGTTACCGGTCAGTAAAAAAGACAAAAAGGAAAAAAAAAATCAGTAAAGGAATGGATCACAGAGAAACCAAGTAAAGCGGCAAGGGTGATATCAGGAAGAGGGTTATCCCAGTAGGGTGGGGAGGAATGTGAGTCTAGGAAACACATACCAGAGGCACTTTACTGTGCCCCACGCTGTGCAATGTTCTCAGGAGTCCCTAAATCAGAAGGGCATTGAGTGAGCAGAGGTCAACAGAATCCTCTGGATGAAGAATTACTGAGGCATCTAGGTTCCTAGAGAGCTAGAAACATTTATTCTAATGCAATGCCTACTATGACTGCTGCCTCCCTTCCCACAGTTCTCACAAGCAACCTTCTCTCAGTATTCCAAACCCTGGGTCAGTGGCCATGTTATTCTGTTACCCATAAGCATGGGGCTATCTCAAGTGCTGGGCACAAAGTCAGCACTGAACAGATATTTAATCGATGTTTATGCTTCCTGATTGTGATTTAGCTACAATGTGGAAGGAATAATGCTCAGAATTGCAAACTGACCCTCATTCTCAGATCATACCTGAGAATCCTACAGATAGAGTCCTGCAGATCAGCCTTATTCAGTAGCCTCATATCTTTTGGAAGGCACACGCCTAAACCACATAAGACAAGTAGTCTTGAATTATATGCAGAAGGCTAGGGATGTTTGGTTTAAAACACACACACACACCTAAAAGTAGAAATAGAAACCAATGGAAATGTTACACAGCTCTGCATTCTTCCCTCTCTTGGTGCTTCACTGCTCCTAAGGAAGGCCAGTGCTTTTTATCTGCTCACATTCCCTTCATCTACCAACCCCGTTTTTAAAGAGGCTTGGGTGTTCTGAGAGAATACGGAGAAGCTTTCCAAGGAAATCTAACCCAAACATGAGTTTTGGTTTAGTTTCCAAATCTCTCTTACTCTGTCATCTACAGACTCCTAGAACAGAGCACTAGGTACAATTATTGTTTTAAGAAAACTGTTCAGATTGTTGAGGCCTCAACCCAAGGCTTGGCCAATGGCTTTCCTAGCCAAGGCAATGTTCAAGTGTTACTTGACCAAATTTGATTTTATTTTTAGTCCACTAACTCTTCAAAATCTTAACAATGTAATGCAATAATGGATGTCGGAGAAAAAGAGAAATAGACTCGACATTATCCAGAATAGGAGGCAGATGTTGGCTGTTTGCTACTGGTGGCCACCCTGGTCCCTCCTATCCCAGGCTATTTCCAGTGACTGAGTCAATTACTTCTTTAATGTTCTCATGACCTATTCTTTCCCCAGGAACATCTATCCAGCTGTTTGGTGGTTCTGATGAACCCAGCTCTAGGTTTCTATTCATTGCTATGCTTGGAATCTTGGCTGCTCCTTCCCAAGTCCTCTAGACTTGCCCTTTGGGCTAGAAGGGAAATTCATTCTTCTGAGTGGAGGACCCTGCTTCCCTGACCTCCACAGAAACTGGGTCCTTCGACTGGTTCAAATCCAGTGGCATCAGACTCACCAGGAGAGCTTTTCCAAAGTGTAGGTACTAGGGCTCTAACTTTGGAAATTGTTTGGAATTTGGAATTCAATGGCTTGAGGGCAGTCTGGGTATTTTCTTATTTAAGATCGCTCCATGTTTGATGCTAAAACATTCTGAGATTTGAGAGTCTGGGGGTTAGAGATACAAGTCTAGAGGCAAGGAGGAGCAATGCTCAAGGGGAAGGAAGGAAGAGAAAGAGGGAGGAAAAAGGAAGAGAGGAAGAAATGGCCACAGCAAGGTCAAAGCAGTTAGAGATACTGTCTGAAAGCAGGCGCATTGGGCTGGGAGGTGCTTCTGTCATGAATACCCAGGTAGGAGGCTCTGTTTCAGTCTTAGGTGTGTGTGCACGTGTGTGTGCACTCACATGCAGGCACGCACATGCGCATACACATGCACAACATGGTCATTTTGGAAAGGTGCCACTCAGAGAGTGGCGTGTCTCACGAGCCGGGTTGTTCCTTCACCTCTGACACTTTTCTGTTCCCAGCTTGAGCTCCATCACACTCCCCAGGGGGAAAAGCACAACACAGCTGCTGAAAATTGGCAGTCGCAGTTGTGTGCTGCTTCTCAGTCCCCACTCTGGCTGTCATCATGACAGCATTTCTTTGGGTCACATCTAGCTGGTGCGGTATCAATGACTTGTGGTGGGGAGAGGGAGGGAATGATGGAGGAAGATCATAGCAATACACCAGGGCTGTCGGCAGAGTAAATTATACCCATTCCCCCACCCCACACCCACCCACTTGCTACCACCCTGCTCTCAGTCTGAGGCCGTGGAAGGCTTTTCCATAGCAACATAAGGCATGAGTTTGAAGCCCATGCAATGACGCTCCATGGCACAGTTCCATATGATTATATAGTCTATGGCCCACGGACAGAAACTGCCTATTTGCAAAAGAATGTTTCTATCCTTGGCTGGCCAGAGGGACCAGTCCAAGGTAGAAGGACCTGCTTTGCTAAATAAAATTAATTTGCCCAAATGTCATAAGTTCAACTCCTCTGTCTTACTAATTATTCAAAACCAAGTTCTTATTGAGTATGAGCCCGAGAGATGTTTTCCAATATTTCATCTTAGTTTGAGGCAGAGGTGATTGGCCTTTGTCTTTTGAAAGCATCACAACACAAAAACTTTGTTCCAGTTGTGAGGCCATTATTCACTTTAGAGTTTACTATGCTTCCCTAAACTGAGCTTCCTAGACTGAATTAGATCTTATTTATGACTGAATCATATGAGCCCAGGATCACCCATACATGCAAGGACAGTCAATAAATGTTTCCTAGGTACAAGGTACTCAAGAGGTACAAATTTCATAGCAACACAGGGTTTTGGCAGGTAGACTATAATGTAAAAGCTGGGAAAAGAGGGTTTTCAAGTCAATAGGACATGGTGCTTACAAAAAAATTTAGAAGATATGATACTGTGCATCACATCTCTGTACTGTTACAGAAGTCTTCCTTCTGACACAGGAAGAAGCTGACACCTCTCTGGGCATGACCTCCCTCCTGTGTGGCAGCTCTGCTCCATGGGCAGGCACTGCCCTCTCACTCTCCTGCTTACTTTGCAGACATGGTCCCTACGCAGGCTCTTACGCTGTTTGCATCGTGGCCAAATAAACTGAACTATTTGCAAAACTCTGGGAGAGATGGTATTTTTAAGACCAGCAACATGCTTTATTAGCTCGAATTCTGGAGAACAACACTGGATTCTGGCAAGTCATTTCTCATGCTGAAGTAGGAGATACTACAAAGAATGTATTTTCTGGAGTTTTTCCAAATAATAGACTTGACTCTGCCAGTATGGAGACAGCTCAAATATGGTGTGTGCATTTGCCTATGGGAGTAGGCTGTATAAAAATCTGGCACTTCAATGGCTTGAAAATTGGCAAAGTAGCGTTGGCTGCTGGATAACAAAAGGGGCGTCTGTAAAATAAAAGATTTACTATTGATTGGTTGGCACTCAATAAGTGGTGTTTCTAAATATGCACTGCATAACCAGCTTTGTTAGTGGTAAAAATGACAATGCATTTGTCTGATGGGCTATTCTAATATGCTAAGGTGAGATTAATACGAGAAATAAAAATATAGCATACCACAGTACTACACAATTCAATAAAAATGGTTTCTTCATATAGTTGCTTTTCAGAACATCAGACCTCACTTTCTCTTTGGCCTGAAGAATTCATTAATTCTGCCTTCTAGCTCACTTTTGGGGAAGGAGGCAAGAAAAGGATAAGACCAGAAGGAACCCTACAATGGGAAGAGGAGTTGAATGGAATCCTTGTGCCAGGTTTGGCCAACTCATTCACAGAGCATTGACCTCATGCCAGAGTCTTGCCCTATGGTCAGACTAATGGAAAGATGACATTTCTCTAAGGCTGGTAGGCAGGGAGAGAGGACTCATTAGGGTGAGAAGTTCATGCTTTGTTTCTCAGGCAAAACCTGGAAGAAATCAAAGACACTCATCAACTATTCCATCAAGATTTGAATATGACTCCAAAATCATGGGGAGGAGGGAAAAGGGAGATGTCAAGGAAAGGCTCCCAGCCTCCGCACTCCCTGCCCTCTGGCTGCCCATCTCATGCTACATACCCAGTACAGCACGTCCGTCCAGCCCTCCATCGTGATGCACTGGAACACCGTCAGCATAGCAAAGGCAAAATTGTCAAAGTTGGTGATGCCGTGCTTGGGTCCATCCCACCCGGGCTTGCACACAGTGCCGTTCTGACACTGCCGCCCGTGGCCTGTCTCCAGAGCACAAGGTGAAGGATCATCTTCAGCTGGAACATCTTGAATGGCCGGGGGAAAAGAGGAGCAGGAAGCAGCAGGGAGGGAGATACACAGGTAGAGAAATAAGAAAAGAAGTCAGAGAGAAAAGTGATGGGATAAGGTTGATGGGGTAGACAGAACCACCACAGCAACAATAACGCAGAACAAGTCTTACTCAGTTCCCCCATACGTGAATTGAACAACATACAAAATTAGGCACTCATCTTAGGCTGCCATCCATTTGGAAGGTCAGTGCTTTCAACTGAATGTTGTAAAGACTGTTTTTTCACCTCAGTAATTGACTACAAAGACAGCAAGGCTATTGCTCATTCTGTTGTAACGTGTCAGCATCACAGCCAAATGGCCAATCAAAAAATAATGATGATGCAACTATTTCAAGTAGAAACTGTCCTGGAAAATGACAGGAAGTTCACATCTTCTTTTCTGGTGGTGAAGTATCTATAGACACTTCTGTTAGAACACCAGCATTGAGAATGTGGGCTATACTGATGCGAAGACTCCGTCACATTGCTAGCCAACTGATCCTCTTCAATAGTGCTTCTGATGATGTGTGAGTCTTTTACATTTTACATGATGCATCCCAGGGACACACGTCACTATAGCGTGAAGGCTTACACAGGTGAAAACAAACTCTGACTGTGGGAGAAGTGTGCACCAGCAGCAGTCCTCACAGAATGCGTGAGAGCACACACTACCAATGGTATTCCACGCGTGTCAGCTGGAGCCCTGCAGCACTGTGCTGTGCTCTCCAATGCCTTTTGGAAGACAAGAATCACTTACTGAGCTCTAATCAAAGTGTAAGTGGGTGACAGGGACAATACTTCCTAGGTATGGACAGGGCTTTTTCAGGAAACACTGTAACATATTGTCTGTAGCTAAAAACAATGATTGGGCAAATCCCACATGCTGGGAAAAGCAAATTAATGAATTAAGATGTGGTTGAAATTTTTGGTATGGAGATCATTGGTAAGTTTAAATAAGAGTTGGCTAGTCTAAGAATTTCCTTTGTGGTAAAATACTGTGGAAAGTTATCATCCGGAATTCACAGAAGGTTGTGAAATTAAGAACATTGACTTATACTTATAGAAAGTAATGACAATAACAAACAGAAGAGACCTAAGTTCTAACAAAAAAAATCGCCTCTAACAAGAGTGAAAATATGCCCCAGAGAGAGAATTTCGCTTGTAGTTCTTCATTTAGAGACAATGGGTCACCCAGGAACTGTCCTTGTTCCACAGCATCCAAACGATCCCAAGTGTGATTATTTTGCCTGCGGGACATGGGCTCTGTATGGAAGACTACTGGTTGGTTGGCTGTTTCTCAGTTTGTGGCTTTAAATTTGCAACTGTTCACTACTGATAGGAAGACAGGAAGAGAAATGTTAGTCCTTGACTGGGAGACAATTCTTAGCAGAATGGAGTTAAGTACTACGGGGGATTACATGCCCAACTGTGTCTTCCTGGCAGCAGCGGCACCTGCTCCTCCTCCTTGTCCTCCTCCTCCCTCTCTCTCAGTTTTATTGAAATACAATTTGCATGCCTTGGAATTCATCAATGTCAATGCACAGCTCAGTTATTTTTAGTAAACTTACAGTTGTGCAGCTGTCACCCACAATCCATTTTAAAACACTCCCATGACCCCTACAATGCCTGTGTGCCTGTTTCCAGTCAATCCCTGCTCCTATTCCTAGCCCCTAGCAACCTGATCTGCTTTCTGTCTCCATACCATTGCCTTTCTAGAAAGTTCACGTGCATGGACTTGTACACCATGTGGCTCTCTGTGACCATTTTCCTTCACTTAGCCTAGCATTACTGAGGTTTGTCTGTGGTGTTGCGCATGTCAGCACAGTCTGTTCCTTTTTATTGCTGAGCAGTATATTTCATTGTATGTTCATCATTCACCAACTGACGGGCATTTAAATTATTTCCGGGTTTGGGCTATTATGAATAATGCTGCTTCCTGGCTTATTCTTGGCCTGGTGCTTTGTTCAATGACCAAGGGGCATCTACTGGTCCCTGAGCGGTTTGAGGGACTGACAGCATCCACACCATTTCCTTATTCCAGGGTCTGGCTCCCCCGAGGGCTCCGTTAATGCAGCTAGACTAAACTGCACTCCGGTCACAATTTTTTGTGACTTTTGAAATTGTGAAATATTTAGATATTTGGATGTGAGGCTATAAAAAGGAGGAAAATTAAAAAGTGAATCCCAAACCTAAATAATACATTAAACAGTAAGAGACTAAAAAATCGAGAACTCAATAGATCATAAATTCTGTTGCATTCTCACCCATTCTAATAGCTTTCTAGAGTGATGTGTTCAGTCACTGTGATAAAAGGGCTGGAATCATATGAGAGATGGGACAAAAAGAGAGGACAAAAAAATAAATGGGAAACTTGTATTTCTTTTTCTCATGTTTTTCTTTTTAGCAGAATAAAGATGCTGTTAATCTTCAAGTTGTGACTGCTAATCTGACAGCTTTCCCTGCATTCTCAGTTCCTGAAACAGCAGAAATGAAGAAAAAGGGAGACTGCCAAAGTGAGTTCTGAGTGTCTTAAAGGAAGGAAGACACGTCTGGAGACTTTACAAATATATGTTAAAAGGAAAATGGCACAAAGGGGAAGTGATCTTGTTAATAAGAGAAAGGGATGTGATTCAGAAAGGGTATCTCTAAAAGCTCAAGTGCCACTCTGCTATTTTAAATGTCTCAAACCACAATAAAAGAGACGTGAGAACAATTGGGAAGCAGTGATGACTTGGTAAAAATAGGTATCTATAAAAAGCACTAAAGAGAACACTCAAAAAACGTGAACACACACCAGTCAGCAGATCTTAGTGATATACACTGCAGGATGAGGAGAAATTAGCTTAAATGTGAAAATGTGTTGGTTTTCTTTTGCAGAGTCAGGAAGCCTGAAAGAGGGAAGTGGGACCACGAGGCAGAAGGAAGAAACAAAGCATGAGGTCTACGTCTCATAACAGAAGTGAAGAGGGCAGCATCCTTCTGGAAAGCCTAAATTAAGTTTTCAGTAAAATGATGGAGGCGAAGGTTAGGAGAGGTTTTAGAAATGCAGTTAATACCAACAAAACATGAAATTCTGGGTGAGCACCAGTGAGTAGTTCCAAGGAGAGAGCCCCAAAGACATAATCAGTACGTTTTTAGGGGCCAACCTTAAGCAGTGAATAGAATGAAGATGATTTCATTTCTAGGCTTTAGCCAACCAATTATTTGCCAGTCTCAGGGGTAATTATTGTGCTTGGGAGAGCTACTCAGACTGGCTTGGCTCAGAGCACCATAAACAGATGGGACAACCAGGAACAAAAGATCTCAGCATATGGTGATGTATCTACTGAGGAACCAAGAAGGTGCTTTGCAGATGCCTCAGGGATTAGTGAAAGATGGCCTCTCATGAGACTGTCCTCACCAGGGACTGCCCACTGGAAGGGCAGCCTAAAGGCAGAACAATGGTTCACCTGGCCAGCTCCATAGTTTTCTTACATGCACTTCACAGAAAATGTGCTAAAAATTCGTGCTAAACTCTAGAAGTACATAAAATTCACAGTTTGTAAAATAACATCTAAGTATAAAAAGAAGAATTTGATGTAAATTCCATTAAAAAATTATAACAAGGGGTTCACAAAGCACTTTTGTATGATTAAATTTGTAGAAAATATGGTAATTCAATCCAATGGAAAAAAATTCTAAAATCTAAAAAAAAAAAGAAAGAAAAAACCACCCCAAATCATTCTAAAGGTTATACAAAACTCTCCAAAACACATGGGGATGGGTCATATAGACTGCAGGTTTTAGTTTTCTGCTCTATGGCTGCACTGTGTCCAGGCTCCTGAAGAGTTCTTCCTCCTCATCAGTGTTAGTCACTGTGGGTGGACAAGGCCCTGATGACAGCAGCACCATGTTCTGGTGGGAGCAATGGAGCAGGTCCTGGACTGTCATCAGACAGTAGGTTTACGAATGAGCCGATTGGGAGCTCCTGTTGGCCGAGCTTTTAAGAGGAAAGACTTCTGCAGCTGTGTTTCCAAGTGGGGAGCCTGACTCCACACGGGAGAGTGAGGTCACCTTCCTGGTGGAGCCTGGCCTGGCTCCTCTCCCTGACACCCTGGCTCCCCTGGCCGATGGTGGTTCTCATGATGGAGCCTCCTTCTCTTCTAAACTTGTGGGTAAAGATAAAACCCATCGCATAAAAAATCTGATGAATCTATGGCAGGATGCAGGTGATGTCTCAGGTACTTTACCTGCTCCTGTTCATTGTCGTGGTGGACAAAGGGATTCTAAGTTTCCCACTCCAATTCGTGAGGCCAAGTCAGGTCTTAAGAGCAGAGCAGGCCATTAAAGGTCTCAGTGCTCGAGGTGGCCTTTCGCTGGGCCCTCTGGCTGCGGCCTGGAGGAGAGCCTCCCACCCATGTTCTCTTTGTCTGCCATACCCGCCACTCTCGTCATCTGAAAACACTGAGGCCTGGTAACAAAGCCCAGTGGCTTTCAACTAATATTCAGGGCTGCTTATTCTCACAGGCTCTTGGAGGATCCTGCCACCAGTAGAAAATAGACTTCTGCTATCTTCCCATTAGGGAAGATATCGCCTGCAGTTCTTGGAGCAGTTCTTACTCAGTGGTGCACGTGCATGTGCTTTCCAGGCAAGGCTGCCATCTTTGGCTCTATAGCGGGATTTCACTATTTCGCTGTCTCCCACTTTGTTGGTGACAGCCATACCATCCATCACTGCTGAACTGATGGGAAATCTTTGAAACTCCATATCTCTGTGACTGCCTGATGAGTTTGGGTCAAATGGGTCATTGATAATTTCAATACAACTGCATAAACCTTATACATACTACAGTCAGCTCTTAAGGAGGTCTTAAAATGAGCTCTAACAAAGCCACACAATTAATATGGATTTATTTAGCTACAGATCTAACTAAAAAAAAGAAAGGATCTGAATTAAAGGAGAAAATTTTATTCATTATATTGTTTGGTATTTCTTTTTTTTTTTTTTTTTGTCTTTTGTCTTTTTCCGTGTCCGGCAACGGATCGCAACCCTCAGTGTTGCCCCCGTACCGGACCGGGGACCGGCAACGGGATTGCAACCCTGGGTGTTGCTCCCGTGCCTCACTCAGCCAGTGAGCGGGAACCGGTCTGTATGTGGGATCCGAACCCTCGGGCGGGAGCGCCGCCGCGCTTCCCAAGCGGCGCACTATCCAGTGCGCCCCCGTACCGGACCGGGGACCGGCAACGGGATCGCAACCCTCGGTGTTGCTCCCGCGCCTCGCTCAGCCAGTGAGCGGGAACCGGTCTGTATGTGGGATCCGAACCCTCGGGCGGGAGTGCCGCCGCGCTTCCCAAGCGGCGCACTTATCCAGTGCGCCACCGGGCCGGCCCTGTTTGGTATTTCTTTAAGCAAGGCTGGAAATCTCAGAATTTTAGCCAAAGACAAGACCTGTTTTTTTCCAATTTTAAAGGAATTCTAATTTTTTAAACATGATATATATATTTTTATATACGATTACAACCCAAGCAATTTGGAAATTCTCTCTAGAGTAAAAAAAAAAAGTGTTATCAAAGAGACTCTCCATCAAAAAAGTAAAAACAATTGTGTAATTTTGCAACTACAGGTTTATAGGTTTTGTTTGTTTTTTTTTTAAGGCCTATATCCATATGGCAATGACCTAGAAACCTTGCAAAAATACCCAGTCAATCCATCCAGTCAAACCTGATCATACATACCAGGTGATCTACTTTGGTTTCTAAAAATGAATTTCACTCCTTGTTCTGATGCTCTCCCTCTTCATCTCACAAAGCAAGAGGGGTCAAATTTATTTTAATGTTTGGACTGAATGTGAATGAGAAGCAGAATAGATAGAGAGAAATGAGGTCTGCTTCAAGGCTCCAGACAGATGCTCGCCTTTCTCCACCAAGATGCCAAAAACTAAGATGACAGATCTTGTTGTTTGAAGGGGAAAAAAAAGAATTATATCAATTTAACACTGCTAACCCCCTTGAGGTGGAGGATAATTTTTTAAAAATGAATTCTTTGCGTTAAACTGCTTTACGTGTCTGTTTAAAAACCTTGTCAATTTCTGTTCAAATGCCTTTTTTTTAAAGGTCAAGCTGAGATGTTAGTAACTTAAGATAGCAGTTTGAGGGATATCCTGCAAGCCAAAATGCTAGTGCAACTCAGGGAAGTGCTTAATGAGCTAGCGTTGCTTGTTAAATATATTGATTTATGGAGCGAGCACGAAGACAGAAGTCTCAGACAGGAAAGGGCTGAGAAGTCATGAGGTGGAGCTACACGTTCTCCTGGAGGAAAAGAAGCCTGCTGGCAAGGGGTGACCCCATGCCTGCCCTCCTCCCCTACCCCGGGAGAGGGACCTGGGGCTTCTGCCTATGAATGGAGAAGCAGAAACATTCATTGCAGAGGAGGCAGGGCCAGCCCTAAGAGGGTGGAAAGAGCTCAGGGTTGTGATGGGAGACCCTGTCCTGAAAGGGCTTTTGATGACAAGCCACACTGCAGGGTTGGTAGAGCAGAGATAGACACAGTCACTAGGTTAGCTCTGATTCTTAGATTAAAATATTCAAGGCTGGCTTAAAAAGTAATAGGTTGACAGAAGATAGGCTCTTAATTCTTTAAATGTTTCTCAAGTTGTGTGCCTCGTTTAAACAATGTTTAATAGTGCTGGACAAAGTTTATATTTGGCTGTTTTAACAGAGATCTTTTATAGTAAAAATAAAAATTCGAACTGAGAGAAAGAACACCAATCTCTGCCCCTCACTTAACCACGGCGTGGAAGAATAGGTGTTTGAATGAAGGGGGCCTTACCAGGCCCTGCTGGTCACGAGGTGGAGCATGTCCAACTGCAGAGGAAACAGCTCTGAGAAACCGACAGCCTCTGGAGGGCTGGCCACCCGCATCCTCCACTTACCTGCCACGCCTTCCTGGTTGTAGCATGTCTTATGCATCTTCCCCATGAAGAGCTCCAGGCCGATAATAGCATAGATGATGATGACGAACAGCACTAGCAGGGCGATGTGTAGCAGGGGAACCATGGCCTTGATGATGGAATTCAGGACCACCTGGAGACCTACAATGACAAAACCATAAACAATATCAACAGTGAGAATGTCAGCTTCACTTACTGAACCAAGTGCTATCTTGATGCTGCACTGAGATCATTTCCTGTCTCAGCAATGCTACAAGTGAGGTATCACAAGCCCCGTTTTTAGATGGGGAACATGGAGCTCAAGGTCACACAGTGAGAGAGTGACAGAGTGGGGATCTAAATCCAGGTTGGCCTGACTCCAAATCTGTCTTGGCGGCACATCCAAATAAAATGACTGGCAGATGCTGTACTTCCAAGTGGAAGAACATGCTGTTTTCATCCATAACGATCAAATTTTCTAACGTCCCATCTTAGAGACAACTGAGTATCTTTTTCTCCTAGAGCAGTGTCCCCGTACAGTGAGAACCCACTTTGCTAGAGACAGCCACGCAGGGACTTATTTCTTTCTCAAAGCCTTCCTCACGGTGGGAGTACTAGAGCCTGTGGCTGACTTGACTGCTGGCATCCAGTAGGGGAGATCCTGTGCTGGAGCTGACTCCCACTGGCACATGCACCTGGGTGGTGACACCTCTGTGGCTGGGCTGAGAACATGTTTGGAAGCACCTTCTCTGGAAGATCTGAGTGGGCCACTCTCACCTACAGATTCCTGCCAGCCCACTTTTGCTCAGGGCACATCCTGGAAGAACATTATAGCCTTCCACTTAAAACCCCTTGAAGGGACTTCCTGTCTGCTTAACGGGCATGGAGTTTCAGTTTGGGAAGATGAAGATGTTCTAGAGATTGATGGTGTGATGATTACACAGCAGTGTGAATGTACTTAGTGCCACTGAACTGAACATTTAGCAATAGTTAAAATGGTACATTTTGTTATGTACATATTACCACAATAAAGTTTTAAAAGTACCCAGGAAAACAAAACAAAAGAAAAGAAAGAGTGGGGAGCCCCACTGAGCACGTGGGTCTTGTCAGTGTCCTGCAGAGGTCTGAAGGTTTGTGCTGTTGTCCCATGGGGAGAAGGACCCTTACCTATAAGCTCAACTACACCACAAATAGCACACCAAGAATGCCACTCATTTAAAGGGGATGTTGCAAGTCTTCATTTGCAAATGGTGGGGAGGTAGTGACTGGCAAGTCACCCTAGATTACACCCAGCCCCAAGAAAATCGCTTGCGAGCTTTCTACCAGCAGTGAGTGCACCAAGTCTTGACATCCTGGGGGAGAAGTGGTAGAGGGCAGCTTCTCCCCACTTACACCTGGGCCAGTTGTGCAGCACATCACCTAGTGAGCCACCTCTGAAACACACGATGGGACACCCACCTCTGATCACACCCATGTATCTCCTTTCAGTGTCTTCATCCAACTTACCCACCTCCCCAGCGTTCTCTCATCCCAGCCTGTCCCTCCACCTCCCTGTGCATGGGGAATTTTGCCTTTGATTTACCCACTACCCTCTTAACTTGGCAAACAAAGGCTGGGTCACCCTCTCTCCAGACCCAGAAGCACCTCACTGGTGCTTTGTGCTCTGGTAGAGTGGTTCTCACAAGGCTCATTAGAAGAACTCTCCCCAGCTATTAAGCCAAGCTGGGGAGAGAAAAGAAATAAAAGAAGGGAGAAGCTGGAATAATTTTACCTGTGAATTAATGAGAGTGCTTTGCAGCCTCCCATTAGAACAAGATGTTTTCAGATCCAAATGATTCCATTAATTAGCAAGTTGTACACACATTAGTGTTAAAGTATGCGAAACGCAGAGAAAGTTGAAAACTGAACTACAAAGCAACTTTCAGAGGTGTCTGCTCGGGGGAGTGCGTTCTAAGTGCTACTCACAGAACAGGGAGGGAACTCCCCAAATCCGGGCTACCCGGGCCATGAGGGGGTCTCCTCTCAGACCTTCAGTGCCACAGCCTCACATTGCAAGAAAATGGTGGGCGAGGCAGACAGAGGAGACACCAGGTGGGAAGCTGTCCCCCAGGCTGCAGCCAGAGAGGCTGCTCAAAAGGCTGCCTCAGGCCTGCTGAAACCACTAATGGCCTCCCCTGTTCTTAGGATAAAGACCAGATCCTTCATGCACCCTACGAGGCCTTGTAGGGTCTGGCCCCAACATCTCTCTGCCCACTTCCTGCCCCTGCCCCTCTCTGGATTCCAGCCAAACAGCTGTTCTTCTAGAGACTCACATGCTGTGCTTCCTCCCGCCACAAAGCTGCCACAAGTACTGCCCCCTCTGCCTGCAACACAGTTCCCCAGCTCCCTCCTATGCATCCTTCAGCTCTCAGCCCAAGCATCTCTTCCCAAGGATCCTTCCCCAAACTCCCAAGACCAGAGAAGTTTCCTTTGTTATACGTCTTCTTGTAACCATTTCCTTTCCTTTGGAGCATTCATCTCGGTTTGAATCAATGTTCATTAAAATGATCTCAAAACATTTATATCAGTCTCTCATATTAGGCTGAGTTTTCTGAAGACAGGGACGGTGCCTGCCCTTCTCGCTGTTTTATCACTAAGGCCTGCTTCGTGCTGAGCCTGTAGAGGGCACTCAGTTAAGTACTCACTGAAGGAGCGACAAAAACTATAACCTAAATAGATGCTATTGCTCTCCTGGAGTGTTGGTGGGCTTTGCTGCAAGAGTCTGCTTTACAGGTAGGTATACGGTGGGTAGATGAGTTTCAGAGCCTGCGGGGAAGACAGAGGCTACTGAGCAGGCTGCGAAGAGGCCAAATGGGAGCGAGTGCGGCCTGTGGACTTCACTGCAGCTTTGGGGACGCCATCCAAACTCCTCACACATGCGCTGCTCCTCAGGCCTTTGTCTTGGTTGGTGGTTGCACCACCCATCCGAGCATGCAGGCCAGAAAACTGATTCCCTAGACTCCTCCCTGCACTCCTGCAGTCAGTTACCAAGTCCTGCTGGTTTCATTTTGCAGTATCTTTAGACATGTATAAGTTATTTTTACTATATAAATAATATATACTAATTATAGGGAAAACAGAAAATACAGAGAAATTAGAAAACACAGAGAAGCAAAAAGAGAAAAAGCAATTACTCACTGTCTCACCAACAAGAGATTGACCACTGTCAGCCTTTTGGTATGTATTTTGGACATTTTGGTCCATGACTCATTTTCCTCCTCTCTATACCTGTGGTAACTGGTCTCCCAGTTTCAATTTTGCCCAGTCTTCATGCTGCAGTCAGAATGCTGTTACTAAAGTGCACGTCAGAACACGCCCCTTCCCCACTGAAAGTCCTCCAGTGACTTCCTATTACCTACAGGTAAAACTCACCTGCCTCCTTCCCCAGTTTGATCTTGTATGATTCCCAGTTCACACCTTACGCTCGGGCAATATGCCAACTGTCTGAAGTTTCCTGGCTTCGTGCCTTCACATCTCAGGCCATGCTGTTCTCCCTAGAATGCCATTCCTGCCCAGCTGAGAGGTCCTTGAGTCTCCTGGGGCCTTCTCATCATGTGTCTCAGGCATGCAGTAGGGACTCAGTGCACATGGAGCTAAGTCACATTTGTATGCACGGGTACCTTCTAAAGACAGGAGCCACAATAATGACAGAATTGGAAACCACATCATTCTATGATTGTTAGAAGAAACTGACGATGTTTTGTCAGGATAAGACTCATGGAAAAAAGGTAAAGGCAGGGAGGGTGATGCCAATGACTTTCACATGGTTTAAACTGCTATTTTGAGGAAGAGGAGCTAGATGACTTCGGCATGACTACAGGGATGGAACCAACCAATTAGCAAGTATCCAGGAAGGGCTTAGATTCAACACAAATGAGAACTGTGTAAGAAACAGAACTATCTGAGGGTGGATTGGGGTGCTTTAAGAGGTAGTGAGTTCCCCATCCTCGGGGGTATTTAAGCATTGACTGAGTAAGCTCCTGAGGAAGTGCCTTAGTGGGGAGTCAGCCCTGGAAGGCCAAAGTCCCCCTAGCCTCCTTAACATGCTTTGAAGACTTGCCATGGGCCAAGTGAGGCTCTCACCACTCCACTTGGTTGGACTATTCCATTTCCTCTTGGCAACAACCCTTTGAAGTAGGTACTATTATTAACCATATTTTACCGATGAAAAAAGTGAGTCCTGAGAGGGGAAATGCCCCGCCCACAGTCACACAGCTAGTAAGTGGTGATGTGGGCTTCAGTGCCAAGTGGTGGGCTTCACAACTATGCTCGATGCCTCCCCACAGCCCCTAGACTGTGGCTCTCAGCCTCCACAATCTGTGCCCATAAAGCAGTAACACATGCCTACAGCATCTGCCAAGAAGGTGGGGTAGCCTAGTTTAGTGCTTGCTTCCAGGAGAGCCCAGATGTTTCCGGGCCAGTCCAGGAAAGGCTCTTAGGTTCTGCTGCTTTCCTCATGGCCTGCCTTGGATAGCAGAAGCCAGGCTGGCTTATGTAGGTGTGGGAACAGAATTTCTTCTCTCTAGTCCATCCTGCAGAGTTTGGTTCCCAGGGCCTGGATGTTCAATAGCTTCTTCTTGGATTGGCTCACAGCTGTCCCAGAAACAGCTCTTCCAGCTCAAATTGTAATTTGGAAAACACAGCAATGTCTCTCTACCCAAGTGTTCTCCTCAGACAGGCCATGCTTATGGCTGATAAGCAACTGCTGGGCCTTTCTTCGGGACTGGCAGCTCATGTTGGTGGAAGGAAATGGGCCCTAGATAAGCCTGGTGAAGCAACTGCTGTAAAGTGTCCTGGGAACACAAGACCATTATCTGCCCATGCATATGATGAGCCTATTTTCCTAGCCCTAAATCAGGATATGAGATCTGACAAGTACACGTGTACTTGTAGAACCAACAGGATAGAACATTTGATATGAGAACTATACTGGAAAATTTGGAACATACGTTTCCACACAGGGATCAAACAACATAGAATCTAGAAATACAGTCTCTGCTAATTTGCAGTTCATATCAGATGACCTCTTGGTGGATGGAAATAGACCCAAGATACCTGGCTACAGGAAGACCTTCCAGGGAGGTGATGCCTTGGGAAGTGACATCGTTAACTGCTGGAGTCAG